AGTCAATAAAAAACCTTCCTAGATGCAAGATAGATGGGCACCCAACAAGAGCATTGCCAAATTTATGCAATTAAAGAAATCAAGAGGCCGAGTGCGGTGGCTCATGCCTGTAATCCCAGCACTTTGGGAGGCCAAGGAGGGCGGATCATGAGGTCAGGATATTGAGACCATCCTGGCCAACATGGTGAAACTCCATCTCTACTAAAAATGAAAAAATTAGCTGGATATGTTGGCAGGTGCCTGTAGTCCCAGCTACCCAGGAGGCTGAGGCAGGAGAATTGCTTGAACCCAGGAGGTGGAGGTTGTAGTGAGCCAAGATTGTGCCACTGCACTCCAGCCTGGTGACAGAGTGCATCTCAAAAAAAAAAAAAAAAAAAGATAAAAACAGAGAAGAGAGGCATTTCAGATGAGGATGAGGGAGATATCTGAATTGGACCTTAAAGGGTCCAAATGTTTTAAACATGAGGAACTGGATGGTGGGGGTGAAGAAAGGAGGACATTTAGGGGGCAAGGAAAGTGCATTCCCAAAAAAGGAAACAATATGGGGAAAGGCACGGACATTTGGGCCCAGAGCATGGAAGGCAATGAACAGAGAGTATGGAGTAAGGATTTGAAAACCTGTCCATAAAATAGAGTAAATTATGACATATATCCCCCTTGAAATATACAGCCTTTAAAAATCAGAGTTATGAAGATTGGAGATACAGGAAAGTAGTTATCAGAAACATTGTGAGTTCAGATGACCTACTTAGGATACTGTATGAAAGTGCCTTGTAAATTGCAAATAACAATCTTTTGGAAGGGATGATGGGAGTGAAAAGAGAGGAACCATGATCACTTTAGAAAAGAAAAGGGTTGCAGGAAGGGTTTTTTTAAAGGCTGGGGTAGGGTTCAAAGAAGAGTTATAAAGTAAGGTGTGAGAAGATAAAAATGATTGACAGAGCAATGCCTCAAGGAGATTCAATGGGTCAGAGTCAAGAGGACAAGAGACCAAACAGACCACAGAAAAAAAGAGGAATGTGGGTAAGTCCACAGAGGGGAGAGGAAACGCACCCCTATGAAATCTCCTGTGGTGAGAGCCAGAGCTTTACTCTGAAGGCAGAAGCTGTGGCTATTTCCAACTTTCACTTCTCTCCTCCGTCCCCCTACTACGAAAACAGAATGACACTCTTAGCCATGAGCTCCCTCAACTTACCATGCCACTGCTCGTGTTTGCCTGGAACATGCCTGTTCTGATTTCCTATCTTCCAGCCTCAGAGGAAGAGATATCACCGTTCTTAGGCTGTGCTGTGCAGCCCTTTTTTCTCCTCTGACACCTTGCTTCATCAATGATCCCTGCTCTCTCCTTGATCTTCAGTCTCTTCCCTGATCACTGGAGCCTTCTCAGCATATATGTAACTGCTTATTAAATAGCTCCACTCAGATGCTTCGCAGCTACCTCAAACTCAGGGTATCTCTCCCTACAAACCAGGTGTCCCTCTTTGTCTTCTCTACATCATTCATCCAGAGCTCTGCTAGGCTTCTCAGACCCTTCTCTCTCCACTCACACAGCTAACTAATAACTCCATCCTTTCCATTTTACCTTTGAAGTCACTCAGCATCCACATCTTCCTCTTTATTTAACAGCCACTATTTTAGTTACTAGTCTGTTTTTCTTGCCTATAGAACTGGTACTCCTGATTCTAGCTTTATCCACCACCAACCTACCCTTTCTATCACTATTAGGGCAATCTTTCAAAAATGCACACCCCGACCACCTCACTACTCTACTTAAAATCTTTCAGAGCCTCTTGTCAGAATAAAGTTCAAATTAATTAATTTCTCTTACTTTTTTTTTTTAGACAAGGTCTAACAAGAAAAACAAAACAAACAAACAAAAAGACAAGGTCTCACTCTATTGCCCAGACTGCAGTGCAGAGCGCAATTCCCACTCACTGCAGCCTTCCCAGCCCTGACTTCCTGGTCTCAAGTGATCCTCCTGCTTTAGCCTCCTGAGTAGCTGGAACTACAAGCATGCACCAACATACCGAGGGAATTTAAAAACATTTTTTGTAGAGATGAGGGGCTCACTATGTCACCCAGGCTGATCTCAGACTCCTGAGCTCAAGTGATCCTCCTGCCTCAGCTTCCCAAAGTGTTGGAATTATAAGTGTGACCGCTGTGCCCGGCCAAGTTCAAATTTCTTAGCACAGCACAGACTTCTCATGATCATCATCCTCTCTGACCCTCTGAAGAGCTTGAGTGTTGGACACTAACTGTACTTCAGGGAATGTAAGCAGCATCTCAGGCTTTCATGCTCTGAGTGTGCTCTTGCTTTCCTGTTGTGTCTTGGATAACTTGTCAGCTGTGAAGATCTGGCTCAGGTGCCATCATTTCTGTAAACCCCTCCCCGAGGTTTTCTCATATAGTCCAGGGCCATTTCCTCTCATTGCTACATCTTACTCTGTTCTAGAATACTCTACTTATTTATCACCTCCTTGGGATTGTCCCTTCATTTTTCTTTGTATCCTTGGCATCTGACACAGAGCCTGTCACAGTGTTTATTGCAAGTCATTAAATGTTTATTGAAAGAAAGACTGGCTTAAACTCTGCATCCTTGAGCCACACACCAAGGCAGGCACATTCATTCTGAGATAACCTCTAGGTAAAACCCCACAGGTGTTTCATAATACACACATTGCATACAACACTCATGCACACAGTCCTGCTCGTAGACAACGTGTTGGTGCTTCCTTTCTACCTGTTTCATCACATTTGTGTGCAGATGTCCATGGCTGCATTAGCCATCCTTCTCCTATCATATTTTAATTTTCCCCAGAAGATCCCATGAAACTAATAATAGTATCTCTTTTTAAAATATGAATAACTTCCAAAGCTTTCAATGCTTCACTTTCCCTTTTTTTGACGGAGTTTTGCTTTTGTCACCCAGGCTGGAGTGCAATGGCGCAATCTTGGCTCACTGCAACCTCTGCCTCCCAGGTTCAAGCGATTCTCCTGCCTTAGTCTCCCGAGTAGCTGGAACTACAGGTGCACACCACCACACCCGGATAATTTTTGTATTTTTTTTTTTAGTAGAGACAGGGCTTCAAGATGTTGGCCAGGCTGGTCTCGAACTCCTGACCTCAAGTGATTTGCCTGCCTTGGCCTTTCAAGGTGTGGGATTACAGGCGTGAGCCACCGTGCCCAGCCTTAAGGCATATTTTGATCAATAGCTATACCTCCAGTCTAGTTCTGGGATTTATCAAAAGGATAATATGTATGTTATATACGTTTATTTTTCTGGTGCGTCTCACAAAATCATTTATCTCTGGCTCCTTTGTTTAAATTCAGAACTAAATCCTCAAAACTATGTTAAAGTAGAAATGATAAGGGTTAGGTCTTAAGAGACTAGTCTTTCCTTTCATCCAGGTTTTTCTGTTTGTTTGTTTTGAAACAGGGTTTCTCACTCTGTTGTCTAGGCTAGTGTGTAGAGGTGTGATCATAGCTAACTGTGGCCTCCTCCTGGGCTCAGGCCATCCTCCTGCCTTAGCAACTCCCTATTCATGCCCCCTAATCCCCACCACACTTCCCTCCCCTGCCACTCAGTAAGCTGGGACAAGTGCTTGCCAGCATGCCTGGCTAATGTTTTTGAGCTTCAGTAGAGATAAGGTCTTCCTATGTTGTCCAGGCTCTTTTACCTGGGTTTTAATTCCAAAGGATTTCAGAGTTGGTGTCTTTTAAAATTTGGTTGTTATTATGAAGAGTCTGCCTGCCTGGACAGAAAAAGGATGTCCTGCGGGGGAAATAAAAAGTTGAAGTGAAATCCATGACTATTTTATGTGTCATTAAAGGCCTGATGCCAGGTGCGGTGGCTCAAGCCTGTAATCCCAGCACTTTGGGAGGCCGAGGCGGGTGGATCACGAGGTCAAGAGATCGAGACCATCCTGGTCAACAAGGTGAAACCCCGTCTCTACTAAAAATACAAAAATTAGCTGGGCATGGTGGTGCGCGCCTGTAGTCCCAGCTACTTGGGAGGCTGAGGCAGGAGAATTGCCTGAACCCAGGAGGCAGAGGTTGCGGTGAGCTGAGATCACACCCATTGCACTTGAGCCTGGGTAACAAGAGCGAAACTCCGTCTCAAAAAAAAATAAAGGCCTGATAATATGGGAGTGGTGTTCTGTGAGAATATTTGAAAAAAAAGTCACTGTATTCTTCCGTTTATGTTAAATAGAATATATTTGATTATTCACAGGAAGAAATTAGAAGAAAATTAATCATATTTTTGGAATGTAAGACTTCACCATTAATACAGATTTTAATATATTATCTGCATGAATTGATTTGGCTAGCATACGTAGTAATGACTCTTCCTGGAGAGGTCAACAAAAATGGTTACTGAAGAATCTTCAGGCTTGTTTAATCTAAATCATTTCTATTTTCTTTAAAAAGATCTGGCATCTAAATAGGAAAGGAAAAATGTTTCATAAGTTTTGAGGAAAGACTAACATTCAATGACAGAACTCCTAAACAGCCAATTTTTGATTACATATGGAAAAGGGGTACAAAGTCAGCACACAGACAGATGAATTTCACAGATAACACCAGCACTGTATTTTGTTTGCTTGTTTGTTTTGAGATGGAGTCTCACTCTGTTACCCAGACTGGAGTACAGTGGCTCACTGCAACCTCTGCCACCCAGGTTCAAGTGATTCTCCTACCTCTGCCTCCCAATAGCTGGGATTACAGGTGCTCGCCACCATGCCTAGCTAATTTTTTTTTTTTTGAGACGGAGTTTCGCTCTTGTTACCCAGGCTGGAGTGCAATGGCGTGATCTCGGCTCACTGCAACTTCCACCTCCTGGATTCAGGCAATTCTCCTGCCTCAGCCTCCTGACTAGCTGGGATTACAGGCACGCGCCACCATGCCCAGCTAATTTTTTGTATTTTTAGTAGAGACGGGTTTCACCATGTTGACCGGGATGGTCTCGATCTCTTGACCTCGTGATCCACCCACCTCGGCATCCCAAAGTGCTGGGATTACAGGCGTGAGCCACCACGCCTGGCCGCTAATTTTTATATTTTTGGTAGAGACAAGGTTTCACTATGATGGCCAGGCTGGTCTCAAACTCCTGACCTCAAGTGATCCACCCACCTCTGCCTCCCAAAGTGCTGGGATTGTATTTTTGATAGAGATGGGGTTTTGCCATGTTGCCCAGGCTAGTCTCCAACTCCTGACCTTAAGTGATCTGCCTGCCTCGGCCTCCCGAAGTGCTGATATTACAGGCGTGAGCATCATGGCTGGCCTCCAACACTACATTTTTGTTCGTTTCAACCTTTTTCCCGCTAAGGAACATCATGAGGAACAAGATGGATCGAGTTTCATCTTCCTTAGTTTGGTTGGCAACTGACAGAATGTAGAAAAAGTAATAGAAGCAAGAATCTGAATAATCCAAAAGTGATTTACCAGCATGGCATAGTTAAGAAGTGATAGTATTAAGGCTACCTTCTTAATTTGACTATGAGAAAAGCTGGGTCTCAATGGCAGCATATAGAGGCATGTCCTATTGAGTGTCTCCTCGTCCACAAAGCTATGTTACAAATAGGCCACGGCATTTATGAACATATCCATGGCCTAAAATGGGACAGAGGCGGCAGCAGCTGTGTCTGCTGTTTGGGATCACTCCAGCAGGTGTAGCATTGGTCCTGGGCCCAAGTCTAACCTTCATTCTTATTCAATACCTTTTATGAGATAGGCACTTGAGGATATCAAAATGAATATGAGACAATTTCTGAAGTCAAAGAGTTCTAGTCAAGTGAAAGGACATGAAAACAGAGAACTGTAATGCTGTGTCATAGGTGCTATTCTGTCAAAGAGTACAGCGTGGGCACATGGGAGGAAGTAAGTCAGTCCCATCTGGGAGCCAGGGCAGGAAAAGCTTCAGATAGGAGGCAGAGCTTGAGCTGACAGATGTTGGTGAGGTGGGAACTGAGTAAATGAGAGAAGAGGCGTCGGGGAAGAACATACCAGGTAGGAGAAGCTGCATGGGCAATAGCAGGAAGGCACAGAAATAACGCACCATGCATAGAGAGGTAGGGAGTAGAACAGTGGTTATTACTGGCTGAGAAGGGTAGTGAGAGGAGAACAGGGAGAAGTTGGTAAATGGATACAAAACTACAGCTAGATAGGAGGAGTAAGTCCCAGTGTTCTATAGCACTGCAGGATGACCATAGTTAACAATAGTTTATTGGATATTTTCAAATAGCTAGAGGAGAGGAATTTGAATCCTCCCAACACAACTGATAAATGTCTGAGTGATAGATTGGCTAATCATTCTGATTTGATCATCACATATTGTATACATGCATGGAAATACTACTCTGTATCATAAATATATATGTGCTTATTATTATTATTATTTTGAGACAGAGTCTCACTGTAGCCCAGGCTGAAGTGTGGTGGTGAGATCTTGACTCACTGCAACTTCCGCCTCCTGGGTTCAAGCTATTCTCCTGCCTCAGCTGCCCAGGTTACTGGGATTACAGACGTACACCACCGCACTCCACGAATTTTCTGTATTTTTAATAGAGACAGGGTTTCACCATGTTGGCCAGGCTGGTCTTGAACTCCTGAACTCAAGTGATCCACCTGCCTCAGCTCCCAAAGTGCTGGGATTACAAGCATGAGCCACCATGCCCAGTCTGTATCCTGTAAATATGTAAAATTAATATGCCAACTAAAAATAAAAGAAAAAAAATCACCTGTTTAGAAAGCTGCAATTGGTTAGGCATGGCTGATATGCATGATGAGAAGGAGAAAGCGGTGAATTTTAAGATTGGATAGGAGGGCCGGAGCCGCATCAGAGGGGACTTTACATGCCATGCTAAAGAGCTTGGATTTGACCCAGAATGTGATTGCTAATCACTGAAGGGCTTTATGCAAGAGAGGGGCATGACAATATTTTGTCCCACCGTGAGGTGGGGAAGCCACAGGCCTCACCCCTGGGGGGGCGCTGGCTGGCCCACCCTGCAGCAGGGTGCTGGTTCTGGCCCCCTCTCCAGGATTTGGGGGAAGAGCATGGGTAGAGAGTGAGGGTCAAGATGGCCATCCCAAAGCTTGGAAACAGTGAGAACGTGTTGTTTCCGTGGTCTCCCATGCCCCCTGGCTTACAAGGGGTTCCTTGTAGGTCGGAGGGGCATCCCTTTTGAAAGATCACTCTGTCTACTGTCTGGAGGATGGCATGAAGGAGACCAAAACTGGAAGCAGAAACCCCCATTAGGAGGTAATTGCAAAAGGTCAGACAAGAAATAACAGGGGCTTAAAATGAAACAATAGCAGTGGCATGGAGTGAAGGGGGCCCTACAAGGTTAGAGGGAGGGGCTTCCAATTACAGCAGCAGCCCTCATTTGAGGACGCAGGGAAGGCTAGGTTACACAGTATGGAAATGTGACTTCAGGAACTCATATTTAATCTTGTGTTGTTGTCAAATTACATGGAAATATAAGATTCTTTATCATGATCACCAAGGTGACCTACCACAGTCATGCAGTTTGGATGATTTTCTAGGCTTTTCGATCTGTAAGAAATAGAAAATAATGTAAAAAGGAGGAATGGGGTACTGAAATAGTGAACGTGGTGAGCAAGTATGCCATTATTTAGCACATTTTCCCCTCACTTTCAAGGAGAAATGATCGTTTAAGATAGAATCATGAGACCCTCAGAGATTAAGATCAAGCTTTTTGGTATGTAACATGTGGCTCATTCTCACTGTATTTAAATAAAAATAATGAGGTGGAGCGCAGGTGGCGCACACTTGCAATCCCAGCACTTTGGGAGGTCAAGGTGCGTGGATCACTTGAGGTCAGGAGTTCAAGACCAGCCCTGCCAACATGGTGAAACCCTGTCTCTACCAAAAATACAAAGATTACCCAGGCATGGTGGCACTCACCTATAATCCTGGCTACTCAGGAGGCTGAGGCAAGAGAATTGCTTGAACCCAGGAGGCAGAGGCTACAGTTAGGTAAGATCACACCACTGTACTGCAGCCTGGGCAACAGAGCAAGACTTCATCTCAAATACAAAAATAAATAAATTAAATTAAATAATGATGAGCTACACTCTCACTACATTTAACATTCTCATAGATTTACTTAGGATACAATTCTATCACTTGAAAATAATGAATTTCCTTGAAAGTCATGAAGAACTAGAGGCAAAAATAAGACATCTGAGACTATGAAGTTACTCGCTTTTATATCCCTATTTCCCATTACTTTCACTACTGAAGACAACTGGCAAAAGCAATGCCATAATTTTGAGAGCCTGCAGAGGTAAGCTGAAGCTTTTTGCATGCTGAATATACTGAGATCAATTGGGCCAATCATCAGAGGCTTCACAGATGGTGATGGCTGAAATCTGATGTAACTCTGGAGTTTTCTAACAAATGTCCTTCTTGGCCGGAAAGGGCTTTGAGAGCTCTTCTGCCCATCTCATCCTCTTGCTTCTAGGCCAGTCTAAATCTATATAAATGGGCCTAGAATTCATTGTGAAAATAGGCCAAGTAGGCCGGGTGCGGTGGCTGAAGCCTGTAATCCCAGCACTTTGGGAGGCTGGGTGGGCAGATCACGAGGTCAAGAGATCGAGAGCATCCTGGCCAACATGGTGAAACCCCATCTCTACTAAAAATACAAAAATTAGCTGGGCATGGTGGCATGCACCTGTAGTCCCAGCTACTCGGGAGGCTGAGGCAGGAGAATTGCTTGAACCCGGGAGGCAGAGGTTGCAGTGAGCCGAGATTATGCCACTGCACTCCAGCCTGACACCTGGCGACAGAGTGAGACTCTGTCTCAAAAAAAAAAAAAAAAAAAAAAGAAAATAGGCCAAGTATAAGTAAACTGAGGTCTGAACTGGTGAAACACATGTAAGTTCACATTTAAATGTTTTTATTTTAAAATAAGTCTAGGAAAAAAATTCCATAGTTTCTCTCAACAACTCAGAGAAGATCCATCTTCAGTGTAAATTAGCATTTACTGAGCATCTGTGGTATGCCAAGGATCAGATCACATTCTTTCATTTTGGAGAAAAAGTCATAGTTGACCTGTCACTTGCAAATGCTAGTTTAAATCTACCAAGGTTTTTATTTTTATTTCCTTCCTTCCTTCCTCCCTCCCTCCCTCCCTTCTTTCTTTTTTCTCTCCTTCTCTCTTTCTCGTTTTCATCTTTAATGAAATGACTCAGAAATAACGTATACTTCCATCACACCAACACTATAGTTCATAGTAAGATACACCAAATTACATCCATTATTAATATGGATGCCAACATGTTAAGCAGTAATTTATTACATGGCAAAGAAAATCAGAAAGCAACCATCAACCAAAAGAGACCCATAAGTTCAGACAAGGCAAATCCCAGGATAGCATATGAGAACAGCTGCTACCTCAGTGAAGGGTAGAACCAATGGTAAGGCTGGTTTCTGGCACAACCAATGATAAGGCTGCCAAAGACTGTTCCAATACCAGCACCAGAACCAGCCACTCCTACTGTTGCAGCGTCTGCACTGATACATTTGGCACCAGTCTCAATGTCTCTGCTGATTGCACTGGTTTGAAGCTCCCTTTGGATTAGTTGAGACACACCATTCTGGGCCTCATTAAATACCGCAGGGCTCTCTACAGTCCTTGCCTCTGGTGGAGATAACACTGATGCAAAAATTGGTCTGTATGCAACTCTACGGAGTTTAAGATAGAACTTCAGAGCAGGGGTGCAGGCGAGCTTGGTGCGGGCAAACATCTTAAACACTTTGGGGTGCTGCAGCTGGAGGACTTGGGTGACAGGCAACTTGGGCTTCTCTCCCGCTTCCTCTCTTCCTGGGAGGTGGCAGTGGCAGCAGTGGTGGCAGCAGTGGCGGCAGAGGTGGAAGGAATGGGCCTCCGATTTTCAAAACATAGTTGTATTTGTAAATGGTAGGTTGAACAAACATGACTCATGACAACAAAATGCAATTTAATTTTGGTCTTTCATTTCTACTATAAGCTTTTTGCACTCAAAGAAGCTTTTCCTTTGCCCTTCCTCGGATGAATACATAGCAGGCTCAATGCTTTTTTTGCTCACTCTAAGGTGACAGTCAGTCTTCACTGTGGGGCATAAACAGTCTCAATTTAGTAGGTATACTGTCCTGTCTTAATGTTAATCAGTCCTTCAATCTTCATTCAAAAGCAGGGCTTCTCCTTCCCCGCTCTAGGTTAGCTCTGTAGCTAATGGATACCACTGTCTTTGGAGACCAGTTTCCTCTTTTTGCTCATTTCCCTCTCCATTTGTAGGAGAAAGGTGAAGGGCCACAGGACAGCTCATACTTGGCTGGGTGGCTTCAGAGTCTTGGCTTGGCAAATGACTAACGCTGATTCTTTCTCTTTGGAGCTTGCCATTGCTTGGGACCGCGGTTCTGCAGGTCCCTGGGCCTAGGCTGATGCATTTCTCCTCTAGGGGATCACTTGATACTCCTTCATCAGCCCTGAAGAATCTGGCATTCTATTCTAGTTTATTGCTGCTTCCAGGCCTCCTTGAGCAGAGCCCAAGATAACTCATCTCTCAACTACATGGTTCTTAAGAGATTATCATACCCATCCTTTGTCTCCACAAGCTCAAAGATAAAAGCTACCCAACACAGCCCCTCTGCTGAGCTACCAAAGCTTGCCTTAGTTTTTTCAGGCATGAATGAGTCACCAGTCCTCTGTGTTTCCCAACTTTTAGGGAACACACTTCAAAGCTCTCTAGGTGATTCCCTGGAAACCCCTCATAAGGCTTTAGGTAAGAGAGGTAGAATTACTTGGGAAACAGGAACTCATGACATGACAGATTCAGAGAAATCCTTCTCCAATCTTCCCTACTCTCCATACTTTAATGTCTTGGATCTGGCCAAGAGATAGGAGTCATGGAATGGGTTTTCTGAAATAATTTAGCTCAGAAACTCTGCATATGGGAAAAACTCACTCTCACTTTGGGAACTGGTAACAGTTTTATTAGCACCTAAGGAACTGGGCTAGAAAGAATATGATTTTAACATACTGTGATGTTCTTTTTTTTTTTTTCCTTTTTTTGAGATGGAGTTTTTGCTCTGTTGCCCAGGCTAGAGTGCAGTGGCACAATCTCAGCTCACTGCAACCTCTGTCTCCTGGGATCAAGCAATTCTTCTGCCCCAGCCTCCTAAGTAGATGGGATTACAGGTGCCAACCACCATGTCCAGCTAATTTTTATTTTTTTAGTAGAGATGGGGTTTCACCATGTTGGTCAGGCTGGTTTCGAACTCTTGACTTCAAGTGATCCACCTGCGTCAGCCTCCCAAAGTGCTAGGATTACAGGCATGAGCCACCGCACCCTGCCCATATTGCTATGTTCTTAATCAACCCCACAGGGTTTGTGCCTACACCTTGTAGCATCCGATATTGACCCTCTTCGAAACTAGCAGACTGCAAGTCTTAATGTTAGTGTGTAAGAAAATCTGGTCATAGACGGGCGCAGTGGCTCATGCCTGTAATCCCAGCACTTTGGGAGGCCGAGGCAGGCAGATCACAAGGTCAACAGATCGAGACCATCCTGGTCAACATGGTGAAACCCCGTCTCTACTAAAAATACAAAAAATTAGCTGGGCATGGTGGTAAGTGCCTGTAATCCCAGCTACAGAGGAGGCTGAGGCAAGAGAATTGCCTGAATCCAGGAGGCGGAGGTTGTGGTAAGCGGAGATCGCGCCATTGCACTCCAGCCTGGGTAACGAGCAAAACTCCGTCTCAAAAAAAAAAAAAAAAAAAAGAAAGAGAATCTGGTCATAAAATACAGAGCAGGGCAAGTAGTTTTGTAGTCTTGTTGTGGACAAAAATCTTAGCTCATAATCTTTATAGTTTTTTCCTTAGAGTGACTGTACATTCCATGAGAGCAGAGAATCAGGCTTTCCATTTCAGATTCTACAAAAAACATTAATCAAGCAACTACTTTATGATTGGCAAAACACGAAGCACTTTCATATAATTTATCTTGTTTACCTTAAATTGAGATAAGAAAAACGGTTTTTTCGGGGTTTTTTTTTGAGACGGAGTTTTGCTCTTGTTACCCAGGCTGGAGTGTAATGGCGCGATCTCGGCTCACCGCAACCTCCGCCTCCTGGGTTCAGGCAATTCTCCTACCTCAGCCTCCTGAGTAGCTGGGATTACAGGCACTTACCACCATGCCCAGCTAATTTTTTTTGTATTTTTAGTAGAGACGGGGTTTCACCATGTTGACCAGGATGGTCTCGATCTCGACCTCGTGCTCCACCCGCCTCGGCCTCCCAAAGTGCTGGGATTACAGGCGTGAACCACCGCGCCCAGCTAGGTTTGTTTTTTTTTAAAAGGCAGTCTCTCTCTCTCTGTCTCTCTCTCTCTCTCTCTCTCTCTCTCTCTCTCTCTCTCTCTATATATATATATATATATATATATATATATACATATATATATATTTTTTTTTTGAGATAGAGTGCTTACTCTGTTGCCCAGGCTGGAGTGCAGTGGCAGGATCTCGGATCACTACAACCTCAGTTTCCCAGGTTCAAGTGATCCTCCCACCTCAGCCCCCGCGGTAGCTGGGATTACAGGCATGAGCCACCATGCCCGGCTAATTTTTGTATTTTTAGTAGAGACAGGTTTTCGCCATGTTGGTCAGGCTGGTCTCAAACTCCTGACCTCAGGTGATCCACCCACTTTGGCTTCCCAAAGTGCTGAAATTACAGGTGTGAGCCACTGAGCATGGCCATATTATTTATATTTTAAAGACATTATTAATTTTAAAAACAGAGGAAAACTTACCTTGGTTTTCTGGCTTTTTCTCTGGGCTTTCTAATTAAATCCTCTAAATGTTTATTTCTCTCTTCCAAACTGAAAGAAGAAACAAGTGAATTTTATGACTAAAATTGATTTTTCTCCACCAGTATTTTGTTAGATTCACTGGAGGATTTGAGTAGATAAAAATAAGTAATCTAGTTATCTATACAGTATCTAACTACCTAACCATATAGTAACTTGGGATTCTTTCCTAGCAACTCAAAATTATTTTATCAGTTTTTCCCTTTACAGGTTCCAGTGGTGAAGAAGGAAAGTAGACAGTAGCAGAGAAAAAGTAGCATTCAGATATTCTCCCATTTGCTTACATAGTGGTTTACTCAGACTGATCCCTCTGTATGAGTAGATCCAACATGATCCTAGGGGTAACATGTTAAAAATAAAACTCCTGGGCTAGGTGCAGTGGCTCACACCTGTAATCCCAGCACTTTGGGAGGCCGAGTCAGGTGGATCACCTGAGGTTCAGATTTCAGACCAGCCTGACCAACACAGAGAAACTCCATCTCTACTAAAAATACAAAATTAGCTAGGCGTGGTGGTGCATGCCTGTGATACCAGCTACTTTTGGGGCTGAGGTGGGAGGACTGCTTGAGCCCAGGAGGTGGAAGTTGTAGCGAGCCAAGATTGTGTCACTGCACTCCAGCCTACGACAGAGCCAGACTCTGTCTCAAAAAAAAAAAAAAAAAAAAAAAAAAAGAAAAAGAAAAAGAAAAAAGAAAAATAGAAAAAAACCAAAAAACCCTGAGCTAGGAATGGCTTAGCATGGGAAAATGTGTGATAGCGTTAAGGACCATCACAAACCCATTTTTCCATCCAGGGAGGTTGTATGAGCCTCCTGTGGCTGCTGCAACAAATCAACACAAATTCTGTGGCTTAAAACACCACATTTATTTTCTTCTGGAGGTCAGAAGTCCAAAATCAGCTTCACCAGACTGAAATCAAGGTGTTGGCAGGGAGGTGCAGCCTCTGGAAACTTGAGAGGAGAATCCTTTGCCTGGCTTCATCCAGCATCTGGAGGCTGTCCTCATTCCTGAGGGGGCTCACGGCCCCACATCACACCACCTTTTCTCCCAGTTTCCACTGTCAGGTTGACTCTTCATCTTCTGTCATCAACTCTCTCTCTGACCCCTCCTCTTACAAGGACCCTTGTGATTGCATTTAGGGCCCACTCAGGTAATCTGGAATAATTTCCGAAACTCAGGATGTAATCACATCTGCAAGGCTCTTTTGCTATGCAAGGTAACAGTCACAGGTTCTAGTGATTAGGACTTGGATATCTTTGGGGCCATTCCTTAGCCTACTGTAGAGGATAAACAGACCCTGAGAGGAGATGAAATTCTACTGCAGAGGTCTAAACTCAAATGCCTATAGAAGGGTCAGCGAGGTATGTGAAATGAGTGAAGCCAGCTGAAAGGTGATTCAGACAAACCAAAGAGCATACATCCCTAGGCCCCGCCTAAAAGAAGTTGCTACTTAGCTTTTGACATATGTTGCCATGTGAGAATGCTGCAGCCATGATATCAGATCTTCTTGTTTTTAAATTTTTATTATTTAGAGACAAGAGTCTTACTCTGTCACTCAGGCTGGAGAGTAGTGGTGTGATCACACCTTACTGCAGCCTCGAACTCCTGGGCTGAAGCAATCCTCTCATCTCAGCCTCCTGAGTAGCTAGGACTGTAGGTGCCTGCCACCACACCTGATTGTTTTAATACTTTGTAGAGACAGGGGTCTCACTATGTTGCCCAGGCTGGTCTTGAACTCCTGGCTTCAAGCTATCTTCCAGCCTCAGCCTCCCAAAGTGCTGGTATTGTAGGCATGAGCCACCATGTCCAGCCTACTCTTGTTTTTAAAGATGAGACAGAAATCTGGATTTTTACAAAATATCTTCTTTTCAATTTTGGCAATTAATTCAAAAATATTTTAAATATTATATGGACAAACATATGCCCCAGAATGGAACTTGCAGGTTGTCATTTTGAAACCTATACTCCTGGCCGGGCGCGATGCCTCATGCCTGTAACCCCAGCACTTTAGGAGGCTGAGGCAGGCCTCAGACCTTGAGACAAGGTCAGGAGTTAAAAACCAGCCTCATCAATATGCTGAAACCCCATCTCTACTAAAAATACAAAAATTAGCTGGGCATGGTGGCAGGTGCCTGTAGTCCCAGCTACTCAGGAGGCTGAGGCAGGAGAATTGCTTGAACCCAGGAGGCAGAGGCTGCAGTGTGATGAGATTGCACCACTGCACTCCAGCCTAGGTGACAGAGCGAGACTCTGCCTCAAGGAAAAAAAAAAGAGAGAGAGAGAGAAACCTATACTCTTTCTTTCAGAGATATCAGGCTTTTGTTTTAATGAGATAAAGAGAAGTTGTCAAACGCAGGAACAGAAGATAATGTGAAACAGACTCTGTATATACCAAAAGCCTGAGTCTATCATCCTTTATTATCAGAGAAATAGCATGGAATAAATCTTTTGTATTTCTAGAATTGAAAAGAATGAGCCCAACTCTTGAAGGAGGGAGATACCCAAGGAAAGAAAGTGCAAAGTGTTTCCAAGTGTGCAACAAGGCAACAGTGGAATATATTGATCCTGTGCTCCCGTGTATAGAGCTGAGGGCAAAAAGCTATAACCTAAGCTTACCTAAATGGAGTCCTCGGTTTATTTTGGAGGAAGTCATATCCTCCATAGAGGGTATGAGAGAACTGCTGAGAGCTAGGCAAGCAAAGCAGCACCACTGAATGGAGTATTATGAGTGCTTTGATTTGCATGTGATGACATGAGTGTCTTCCTTCTTTCCTTCCTTTCCTTCCCTCCCTCCCTCCCTTCCTTCCCCCTTCCCTCCTCCCTCTATCCCTCCATCCCTCCTTATTTCCTTCTTCCTTTCTTTGTGACAGAGTCTTGATCTGTCACCCAAGCTGGAGTGCAGTGGTGCAATCTCAGCTCACTGCAACTCTGCCTCCCCGGTTCAAGTGATTCTCATGCCTCGGCTTCCCAAGTGGCTGGGATGACAGGCATGCACCACCATGCTTGGCTAATTTTTGTATTTTTAGTAGACATGGGGTTTTGCCGTATTAGCCAGTCTGATCTTGAACTCCTGGATTCAAGTGAGCCTCTCACCTTGACCTCCCAAAGTGCTGGGATTACAGGCGTGAGCCACCATGCCCAGCTGACATGAATATATTTCATGTGCTTATTTGCCATCCATATATTTTCTTGGTGGACTCTCTACTAAAATCTTTGCCCATTTTTATTGGATTACTTGTTTTCTTATGACTGAGTCTTGAGAGTTTGTTACATCTGGATAGAATTTCTTTATCAGATACATGACTTGCAAATAACGTTCTTCCAGACTATGGCTTGTCCTTTCATCTGTTAACAGTGTCTTTAGAAGAGCAGTTTTAGGCTGGGTGAGGTGGCTCACACCTATAGTCCCAGCACTTTGGGAGGTGGAGGTGGGCAGATCACGAGGTCAGGAGTTCAACAGCAGCCTGACTAATATGGTGAAACCCTGTCTCTACTAAAAATACAACAAAAAAATTTAGCCGGGCTTGGTGGCACGCGCTTGTAGTCCCAGCTACTCGAGAGGCTGAGGCAGGAGAATGGCTTGAACCCGGGAGGCAGAGGTTGCAGTGAGGTAAGATTGCGCCACTGCACTCCAGCCTGGGCAAGAGAGTGAGACTTTGTCTCAAAAACAAACAAACAAACAACAACAAAAAAGAGCAGTTTTAAATTTTGATGAAGTCGAATTTATCAAAATCTTTTCTTTTTTTTTTTTTTTGAGACGGAGTTTCGCTCTTGTTTACCCAGGCTGGAGTGCAATGGCGCGATCTCGGCTCACCGCAACCTCCGGCTCCTGGGTTCAGGCAATTCTCCTGCCTCAGCCTCCTGAGTAGCTGGGATTACAGGCACGCGCCAAGATGCCCAGCTAATTTTTTGTATTTTTAGTAGAGACGGGGTTTCACCATGTTGACCAGGATGGTCTCGATCTGTTGACCTCGTGATCCACCCGCCTCGGCCTCCCAAAGTGCTGGGATTACAGACGTGAGCCACTGCGCCCGGTTTATCAAAATCTTTTCTAATGAATCATGCTTTTCGTGACATGTCTAAGAAATTGTTGCCTAACCTGAAGTCATAGAAATTTTCTCACGTTTTCTGCTAGGTGTTTTATGGTTTTAGCCTTTATCTTTGGGTATAGCATCCATTTTGCGTTTACTCTGTATGTGGTGGAGTGTATAAAGCAAAGTTAATTTTTTTTTAATATGGGTAATGATTTCAGTGCCATTAGTTGAGAAGGCTATCCTTTTTCCACCTTGTTGCCTTTGTAACTTGGCCAAAAATCACTTGTCCATATATATGTGGGTCCATGCCTGCACCGCCTGCTCTGTTCCATTGATTTTTATATTTTACACCAATGCTACACTGTTTTATGATTATTGTTGCTCTATAAAAAGTCTAAGAATCAGAGTTTCTCTCCCATTTTATCCTCCTTTATCAGAGTTCTTTTGGCTATTCTATGCCTTTTGAATTTCTGTATGAGTTTAGAATCAGCTTGTTAAGTTCTAAAAAATATTTAAAACTGAAATTGCACTGAATCAATAAATGAACTTGGGGGAAATCTTAACAAAATTGACCAATGAAAGAGATATACCTCTCCATTTATTTAACTCTTCTTAATTTCTCTCAATGATGTTTTGTAATATTTAGTGTACAAGTCTTTTACATACGTTTGCCAAATTTATCCTTATGTAGTTCATATTTTTGGTGCTATCAGAAATTTTTAAACACTTCTGATTGTCTGTTGCTAGTATATACAAATATAGGGGACTTTTACGTATTGATATTGGATCCTGCAACCTTGCTAATCTTAATAGCCCTAGTAACTTTTTTGTAGATTCCATCAGATTCTCTACATAGACAATCATGTGGCTGTGAATAAATTCATTTTTTGCTTCATGTGCAGTCTGGATGAGTTTTATTTCTTTTTCTTGCCTGACTGTCCTAGACAGAATTTCCAGTACAATGTGAATTTACTGAAATGTCTTGTTCCTGATTATGAGAAAGCATTTAGTCTTTCATCAGTAAGTATAAGGTTGGTAGGCTTTTTGTAGGTGCTCTTTGTCCTTGTTGAGAAGGTTCCTTTCTGTTCCTAGGTAGTTTAGGTATTTTCATCAACAGTGATGTTGGATTTCGTCAAATGGTTTTCCTATCTATAGAAATTATCATATGCTTTTTCTTTTTTAGTGTTTTTAATATGCTAGCTAACATTGATGGATACAACTGTTATTACACATAAAGCTGGCCCTTTTTTTGCCATATAAGGTAACACTCACAGATTCCAGGGATTAGAACATGAATTTGCCATTTACTTTTACCCACCATTTTTCTTATGCCAACACTTTTTCTTTACTTTTATTTTTTTATTTCCATAGGTTTTTGGGGAACAGATGGTGTTTGGTTACATGAATAAGTTCTTTAGTAGTGATTTGTGAGATTTTGGTGTACTCATCACCCAAGCAGTATACAACTATACCCAATATGCAGTCTTTTATTCCTCACCCCCTACCACCCTTCCCCCAAGCCCCCAAAGTCCACTGTATCATTCTTATGCGTTTGAGTCCTCATAGCTTAGCTCCCACTTACGAGTGAGAACATACAATGTTTGGTTTACTTCACTTAGAATAATGGTCTCCAGTTCCATTCAGGTTGCTGCGAATGCCATTATTTCATTCCTTTTTATGGCTGAATAGTATTCTGTGGTATATATACCACAATTTCTTTACCCACTCATTGATTAATGGGCATCACATTGTGGTTGTGATTAGCATTTCCCTGATCATTAGTGATGTTGAGCATTTTTTCAATGTGTTTGTTAGACATTTGCATGTCTTCTTTTGAGAACTGTCTATTCATGTCCTTAGCCTACTTTTTGATGGGATTGGTTTTTTCTTGTTAATTTGTTTGAATTCCTTGTAGACTCTGGATATTAGTCCTTTGTCATATGTATTGAGTGTGAAGCTTTCCTCCTACTCTGTGGGTTTTGTTTACTTTGCTGATTATTTCTTTTGTTGTGCAGAAACTTTTTAGTTTAATTAAGTACCACCTATTTATCAGTTTTTTAGAAAGAAAATATATAATTTATTAGATACTGAATATAAAAATAAACCATCTAAATAGGGGCCAAGAGAGCTTCCTTTATGTCTCTTGGTGCTTCCAGGCCTTCCCACCCCAACCCCAGTAAAAACATTTTGCATATACAATGGCTAACAAAGACTAAAAAGATGCAAAGCTTCCAAAGACAGCAGGCACGCAGCTTAAGGAGGGTGATGACTGGGTCAGATGAGATCTTCCTGGAGGAGCCCACCATTTTCTCAGTTGCAGCACTGACACAAAGATACCCCAGCCTTCTGAACCAGAGGCTGACATTAGGGGGTCCCTGAGCAAATGACGTGCTGGAGTTGCTGGTTGCGAGGCAGACGATCTACTCCCTCAACACATCCTCCAACTGCTTCATTATCAAAGCCCGCTTCTGCTCCTGCAGCACATTACAGAACTGATGCATGGCCAGTTTTATTTGGGGAAGCTCATCTGCAAAGATGCGGTGGAACTGACCTGGCTCCTTATGCATGTAAGCTTTGCCACAGGATAACAGGAGCTTGTGAGAGGAGCTGTTCTTCTTCAGATGTACAGGGATCCAGGTTCTTTTTCAAGTTGATCCAGACATAGAGGCCAGAGCTGCAGTTGTGAAAGGGGATCCCCAATGCCTTCAGCTTGGCAGTGATGTACTTGTGAGCTTCCCAGAGCTGGTAACAATTGGTGGGCAGGTACACTTTGTCAACCCATTCTGTGTTCTGGAGCAGCTGACACACCTTGTGCTGGGCGATGCCAGATATACTATGGAGGTAGTCGAAGGTGATCACAGCAGAGGCCACCTCCTTGTTGTGGGTGTACAGAGCACCAAAGAGGAAGCCAGAGATGCCAAAATCCTTACTGGCGTCCCAGATCACATGGGTCCTATTGTGATCAGGCAAAGTTTTCATGCTCAGGACACTGTGGAATGTGATGGATGCATCAAACACAGCGAGCATGTAAATCTCATCTATGATCACATGTAGGTCATACCTCCTGGCAAATTCCAGGTATTCCATTAGCAAGTTTGGAGAGTAGATGTCACCCACAGGATTCTGAAGGTTGATTAGTACAAGGCCTTGGACCTTTTTCTGCTCAAGCCTGGCTTCAAGCAGGGCTTCCTCTAAGTTGTTCACAGTGAGCTGGAAAGGATGGGTGTTGGTAACAGTGATGTCACTCTCCAGGTGGACAGGAATCAACTCAACCTTCCTGTACAGGCAGGAACTAAAGGGGGCAGGGACCAGGAAGGCCTCACCTGGATCACACAGAACCATGGCAAGGGCAAGAAGACAGAGCAGCAGCCATTTAGAGCAACCACATTTTTCTGGATCAAGTCAGCTAGGTGCCTTGCAGTAGCAGGTCAGGAACTGGGCCACGTCCTCTCGCAGGAATGGCTGCCCTCTCCAATCAGGGTACTGTAGCAAAGCGTCCTCAATGCAGTTCATGTCACTTTCTTGCAATCTTTCAGTCGTCAGATCAATGCAGAGCTTGTTCTCACTGGTGCCAAGGTTAATGAAGCCCAAGGTGTTCTTGTCCTTATGATAGCTGTCTTTTTGGTAGGCACTGTAGTCCTGGAAGCTTGACTGATAGAAGACAGAGATGTTAATCCCACAGTTGGATAGATCACGGCTGCCAAAGACAGCTTCATAATCACTCATTTGGGGAACTGGATCAGACTGCCCCAACAATTGGCCCCCCTGCCCACATCTGACATTGCCCCTAGCATCCTGGGAAGGAAGAGGCACTTGGAGTTCCAGGCCACTCATGGCCCTAGACTATAGGGGGGTTGATCATCTGGCACATTAAGTGATCCAGAAGGGCTTCCTGCTCACGGATGGCCTGCGTGTACTTCTGTTCTTCCAGTGGCAGGCCCTGCCTGCTTGTCAGTGGCATCAAGTGCAAGTGCAGCATCATCTCCAACAGCTAGGTATGGATGCTCTGGTCTAGGAGGATCTGGCCTCTTATCTGGACAGAGGGCACAGGAAGGGTGTCTGACTGACGACTCATACTCCAGGTATCTCTACTGGCCCCCCACAGGCTGGCTGGCACCTCTGTCTGTTTTCACTCATCTTCTCTCCAGCCTAAAACCTGACTGAGCAAACCGCCCTTGACTGTCAGCGCTCAGGTACCTGCTCTACTGCCCCCCTCCTCACTGAATGTGTTTATCATTGTTTTTTTTTTTTTTGCATTTGCTTTTGGGTTCTTGGTCATGATGTCTTTGCCTAAACCAATGTCTAGAAGGGGTTTTCCCATGTTATTTTCCAGGATTGTTATGGTTTCCGGTCTTAGATTTAAGTCCTTGATCATCTTGAGTTGATTTTTGTATAAGGTGAGAGATGAGGATCCAGTTTCATTTTTCTGCACGTGACTTGCCAATTACTCAGCACCGATTGTTGAAGAGGGTGACCTTTCCCCACTTTATGCTTTTGTTTGCTTTATTGAAGATCAGTTGGCTGTATCTACGCCAACGTTTTTTCATTAAACAAGAAAAAGAAGTCAAAAAAATACAATGGGATTGTGACTATAAATAAGGGCAGTACTAATGTTATTTTTACTATATCCTGAAATGCAGCTTTTTGTGGGGTTTACAAGTTTTAGGGGTAAACAAATGTTCACCCTTATTCTCTGTGATCAAGGTATAAAATCGCATGGATTTTTAAAAGAATGTTCAATCCAATCAAACTTTTTGATCATCCTTTACGCAAACTAGAATGAAACTTAGAAAGAAAAGTTGTGGATTTACACTCTGAAATTTTCTGTGATTTTTGATATGGTTTTGCATGGAAAAGCATTTACAGGGCTTTCATGTGAAGAGAAATAACAGTTGCTATGACAGGGCAGTGAGCTGTCATTTATGAATTCAGTGTTGCCTGTAGGAGATATGGCACTGGAAGTATTCTAGGACTGTTGGCACTCTGTGGATAGTGAATAGTAAATAAGTTAATGTGGAAGACTTCGATGAGTGACTTCAAAACTATAGGTTATGATCAGAGATACATGATGGGTAGGAATGGAATAGATGATCACCTTGAATAACAAGGTAGCAGGGCTTCATAAAATGGGATTCCAGGACAGGAAAAGAACTGGGATATTTTTATGAGAAGATCCACCTCTCACCAGAATGATGTAATGGCTGTGATGGGGCTAAGATAGAAAGAACAAGTCTCAAATTTTGTAGGAAGGTGTTCCTGAACCAGAAATGTTTAGAGCAGGGACTTCTACAACTGAAACAGACAGATCTGGACATTAGCATTAGAGAGAGTGGTATTCAGGAATGAGAGATGCATGGCTACTCAAATCTCTAGCATTGTGGAAAAGCTATTGACTCAGACTCAGAGGACAGTGAACGCATCTCTAAGGAAATGACATTTCAGCAGATGTGAAAACGGTTCAAGATAAAGGGGGTGAAAACGGCTGCATTCCAGGCAGAGCAACATGCTAAAACCTGGAAGCAAAAGGGATATGGTACATTTGAAAAAGTATAATATTTCGAGTGTGGCAAAAGCAAGTCAGGGAATGGTAAGATGAGATCAGAGAGGCAGGGAGGAGCTTGATCATGAAGAAAGCTGTAGGCCATGTTAAGGATTTTTTGGTTTTACCTAAGGTGATGGAAAATCATCAAAGTTTTTAAAGACACGAAATGGCATACTCATATTTATATTTCAGAAAGATCACTCTGGCTGCATATACAAAGTGGATTTCACCAAGCAGTTTTCTTTTAGTCTTTTTGAAAAATAAAATGTCACAAATAGCTTTTGTAGTAAACAGCTGTTTCTAAAGTCCAAGGCCTATGAATTGAAAAACTATAGTATAGCCTATGAATGCATTTGAAGAACAATACCTCAAACTCTATTAAATTTTAGCAGAATCAATAGACTAGCACCAATTTAAAAGAACACTGTTCTGATGATGTGTGTATTTGATGATTTTTTTAAATTTTAGGTGAATCTATAAAGTGAAAGCAACTTTATCAAGAAAGTAAAGGAATAAAAGAATGGCTACTCCATAGGCAGAGCAACCTGATAATTTTTGAAGCAGTGTATACCTTTTAATGAGACTAAAGCTAATTCACTATAATTAAACAAAAATACTGTTCTTCATGGATATAACAGACTAGATTTGATTTTTTATAAAGTAAATCAGGGCCAGGCGCAGTGGCTCATGCCTGTAATACCAGCACTTTGGAACGCCACAATGGTAGGATTGAGTCCAGGAGTTCAAGACCAGCCTAGGCAACACAGAGAGATCCCATTTCTAAAAAAAAAAGCCATGCTGGTGCATGTGTGTAGTCCCAGCTACTTGCAAGGCTGAGGTGGGAGCATCACTTGAGCTCAGGAGATGAAGGTTACAGTGAGCCAAGATTGCGCCTCTGTACTCCAGCCTGGGCAACAGAGCCAGACCCTGTCTCAAAAAACAAAAAAGTTGGCCAGGCGCAGTGGCTCACCCAAACTCAGCACTTTGGGAGGCTGAGGCAAGTGGATCACTTGAGGCCAGGAGTTCAAGACCAGCCTGGCCAACACTGCAAAACCCTGTCTAAAAAAAAAAAAAAAAAAAAAAAAGCCAGGTGTGGTAGCCCATGCCTGTGGTCCTAGCTACTCAGGAGGCAGAGGCAGGAGAATCGCTTGAGCCTGGGAGGCTGAGATTGTGCCACTGTACTTCAGCCTGGGCAACAGAACAAGACTCTGTCTTAAAAGAAAGAAAAAAAAGAAAAGAAAAGAAGGAAGGAAAGAAAGAAAGAAAGAAAGAAAGAAGAAGAAGGAGGAGGAGGAGGAGGAGGAGGAGGAGGAGGAAGGAAGGAAGGAAGGAAGGAAGGAAGGAAGGAAGGAAGGAAGGAAGGAAATTCTAATAAGCAGCCACAGTTGACATGCTTATGATAAAGCCTACAGAATTCAGATGTCTGAAGCCTATGGTCTCTTCTTCAACACAAATTGGATCAACCACTCAACTGAAATATACTTAAAAAAATTTTTTTTCTTTCCACCCAAGCCCTGCATAACATATTAATTTTTTAATTTAAAAACAACTGGGGCAATCATCATGGTGGATGGGCCATGGTGGAGGCAGGACTAGATTGCAGCTCCAACTAGGACTGACAGAGCAGTGTGTGGAGGCTCACATCATGAATTTTAGCTCCAGAATGACTGCAAGAATTAATCAGGAATCCCAAGAGTAACCACAGACCCTCTGAAGGAAGGGGACTGCTCCTGCAGGAGCCAGGATACAGCCCAAATACTGTGAGTACCCAAACTACGGAAGTGGGAAATGGAGACTCTCCTTTCCCGAACACACAAACCCACTGAAGAAAATGAATATCTAGTTTGCGAGAGAAGTTTCTGACCTCACCTGCAGCTGAGTCAATTTAGAGAGCTGAGCAAAACACAGGGGAAGAGGAAGCCCTGTGTTTTCCTTCCCCAAAAACACAGGGGAAGGAAAGGCCTTAAGAGCTTGCTGGGTCCCCAAGCAGGCCAGTTCTGCCTGGCACCACAGGAACCCTTTGGGAGGGCAGCCAGAGGCGTGGGGGGAGTGGAACGCCACAGGGAGAAGGAAGTCTCCAACTGAAGTTGGTAAAAATTTGAATTGAGCAAGAAGCCTCTAGGCCAGAACTTGGGGAAAGGCAGGAATCTGGTTTGCAGACTCCACCGGCAGGAAAAGAACCAAAGCCCTGTTCTTTCACAGCCGGGAAGCAGGTAGCCTGGGGCAAGTTTTCAAGCCCTGCTCACCTACTGCCTGGAAACAGACTTGGGGCTGTTAGGGGGGAGTGAGAGTGAAACAGGCTCTCTGGCTTGTGTGGGAGCTGGGTGAGGCCTGTGGCTGCGGCTTTCTCCCACTTCCCTGACAACTTGCATGACTCAGCAGAAGCAGCCACAATCCTCCCAAGTCCACAACTCCAATGACCTAGGAATCTTACCCCCATACCCCACAGCAGCTGCAGACAGACTCACCTAGGGAGAGTCTGAGCTCAGACATGCCTAGGCCTGCCCCCACCTGATGGGCCTTCCCTATCCACCCTGGTAGCTGAAGACAAAGGACACATATTCTTGGGAGTTCTAGGGCCCTGCCCACCACCAGTTCCTCTCCACACTACTACAGCTGATGCTGTCTGGAAAGTGTCACCTCCTTGCAGGAGGCCCACCAGCACAAAAATAAAACATTAAACCACCAAAGCTAAGAACGCTCACAAGAGTCCATTTCACCCCACTGCCACCTCCATTGGAACAGCTGCTGATATCCACAGACAGTTCACATCACAAGAATCTGTGCAGACAACCCCCAG